CAATATATAAATAAACATTTATATATGTATAAATGTTTATATGGTTATGTATATTTGTTTATATATATAAACAAAAATAATTTATTATACTGTATGCATATGTGTGTATTTATATATACATAATAAATATACACAGTACACACATTATATAAACAAAAACTTTTATTTTGGATGCAATTAATCGCGATTGATTAATCGTTTGACAGATTAATCGGTACACATATATATATATATATATATGTATGTATATATGTGTGTGTGTGTTTGTGTGTGTATCATAATTTTGTATTTGTCAAAAGAAATATATTTTTGTCTTAAATTAATCACTGTCACCAATCATTTTAAAACGGTCTAATCAAATCCACTGCCCAAAAATGTTGGCGATTACGCAAAAATTCTGAAATTGAAACAAATTGGTTTGCAGTAAGCCATTTATACTTCCATGTGAGTGTGAAGTGAAGCACCACAGATAAAGCGTGACCGCAGCGGGGCTCTGCAAATGCGTTTATACTTTCATGCTCTGAGTGCGGTTCGCTTTAACAGGTCACTGAGAGTTCATTTAGAGAGCTTCCATAATGCACTACTGCACCAGGAGGAAACACATAAACACACACTTCATTGCATCTCTGTAGTCGCTTAAATGCCATTTTTTTGGAAGCCAATGTGTGATTAGAATTTAAAATGCACAATAATCATGGTGAACAGCTGATTACAATCCCAGCTTGTCTACTTTTAGTCGTTTAGAACCGGGTACAGATAAAGAGTTTACTGTTTGAATTGTAAAAAAAAAAGGGTCAACATTTAACTATTTTTTTCCAGTGTCATCATAACCAGACCAGAAACTATGAAAAATCTATATATTGTGCATTCCTACTTGAAATTGGTGTCATTATGAAGATATAAAATAAATAAATGCATACTTTTTTAAAATGATCATCCTCCATAAATCCATGTTCTTTGTTTCTCGCTCTTGTTCTCTCTTAGCATTACTTCCATTTGAGCAGCGAGCTGCCCGATCATGACATCTATCTGTACAATAAACCTGGAGGCCAGGGCACAGGAGGCAAAGGTAAAGAGACTTATATTCTCCTAACTCATCATCTGCATCTCTTGTTTTCTGAGGTTTGATTTGCATCTCACTGTGACTCATTTAGCACCTCCTAAATCTCACTCCTGAGCTCCTGAATTATACCCTCTTTGCTTGTTTACTTTGTTTTCCATTGTCTTATTCATGGTTTTATTTATTTATGTTTTTAAAGTGATTATTGCCGGATCTAATAGGTAGTGTAGCTACTAAGGGGTATTAAGCAATGGTTGAAGATAGGAGGGGAAATTAAACACAAATGTTGATGCAAACATTTGTTATGAATAAAATCTAGAAGATCTAGTCATGACGTAAAATATGGTTAATAAGGGGTTACTGAGTTGCGCTGGCATGAGTGTTTGGAAATGATATTGTGATTTGAAGTGATATTGGTCTGGGGGAAAAATGGATGCACTGAAATGAGTCGAAATGAGCAAATTTTCAAAAATGAGTTCTCTTCATTTTCACATTCTACATAAAAAATATATCAAAATGATATATAACTTGTTGGAATCGGACAGAAAATGACTGAGCTACAGCCGTTTGAAGGCGATAGAGTCAGCAAAGTTAAAGTTTTCTGAAGGTTCCAAAGCAAAATCACAGAGCAACCTTGCATATTTTCCTCCAATTCTTTTCTTAATAATAATTACTATATTATTAATCACAATATAGCTGTTTTTATTTTATCTTTGTTATTAAAAATAAGATACAAAGATGCAAATAAACTGTAGTTTAATCAAGAATAGCGAATGATTCCGTCTTTTCTTTTAATGTTTGATTAACATCGAGACAGATCAATATTGTGACCTACTGCAATGCATGGATCTAATATAATGTTACACATCAGATTTTTCCCCAACCATTAACTAAACGTTCATGTAAGACATAACAGATTATGTTTGTGTGAATCTCACCAGGATATATTTCGCAATAATGTACTTTATAGGGAGATCGCGCGCTCTCGGAGATGCATGCGCTTTACAAATATCAGCGCGATTGTTTTGTTTTCATCAGCATGGGTTTGAAAATCATATTTTACTGGTTCAGACTCATGTCATACAGAATTCACTATGAATATTTATAAAGCTGGAATGCTGCACTTTGCAACGATATATCCTACAACAAGCAATCGTCCAGAAGTGAGCAGAGAAAAAGGTACTCCTCTCAGAAAACGTACAAATAAAAATCATTTTAGATGTTTAATTACTATTTGAAGCATTGGGATCACTAGAAGAGGGCTTAATGAACTCATTTTTGTAAAAAAAAAATATATATTTTTTTTTATTTTGTAAAATCTGTAGCTCAATATTAGACCGTGCGCATTCACACTTATTTTGTCAGCATGGGTCACACATATATATATATATATGTCTTTTTAAGCACTGATTCTAAATAGTGAGTTTTATGTGAGTATTTTATCATGTTTTGCTGTTCCCAGAATGATGGGAAATGTACTTCAGTCACACCAACCTGCCTCTTCATAAACCAGTAAAATGTTAGAGTTTTCTGGCGAACTTTATTACTGTTTTTCATCAACAAACTTCAATTGGATAGTCAAAATTCACATTTATAGCTTAATTATGACTACTAACAATGTCTTGCGCTATGGTTCTTTAATTGACATGCTGTGGGGGGTTGAAGAAAAATGGGTGTAGAACTTCTTTAAAGCTTATATTGAGTTTGAAATCAAATCTGAAGTCTGCATCCGACCCGTTCAGGTTTTCAGACCAGAGTTTTTAACACTCCGGTGGGTGCATGTGGAGTTTATAAATATAAAGTACAAGTGGGAAGTTTGTGAGTATTTTAAGAGCTGTGGAGGGGAGGCTTCAGGTCTGTCTCATTAACGTGAAGGGTGTTTAACAAACCTCTTAGGGTTCTAATGTGACTTGATCCCAAAATGCAGAGAGATAATTGTCAGGTAGAGACAGTGGAAGTCGTAGCAGCTCTGGCCTGGAGCCACAGGGTACCTCTTCCCCGCTTTCCCGACCACTAATGAACTGACAGTCCACCCAAATACCTGCCAGAGCTGCTCCTGAAGATCTCCTAATGCACCTGCTATTAAAAGGAACATTACAGGATGCTTTCCACCATTACTGCTCATGCACTTCATCAGAATGTAAATAAAGGGAATCAGAAGAGGGCTTAATGAACTCATTTTTGTAAAAAAAAAATATATATTTTTTTTTATTTTGTAAAATCTGTAGCTCAATATTAGACCGTGCGCATTCACACTTATTTTGTCAGCATGGGTCACACATATATATATATGTCTTTTTAAGCACTGATTCTAAATAGTGAGTTTTATGTGAGTATTTTATCATGTTTTGCTGTTCCCAGAATGATGGGAAATGTACTTCAGTCACACCAACCTGCCTCTTCATAAAAGAGTTTTCTGGCTAACTTTATTACTGTTTTTCATCAACAAACTTCAATTGGATGGTCAAAATTCACATTTATAGCTTAATTATGACTACTAACAATGTCTTGCGCTATGGTTCTTTAATTGACATGCTGTGGGGGGTTGAAGAAAAATGGGTGTAGAACTTCTTTAAAGCTTATATTGAGTTTGAAATCAAATCTGAAGTCTGCATCCGACCCCTTCAGGTTTTCAGACCAGAGTTTTTAACACTCCGGTGGGTGCATGTGGAGTTTATAAATATAAAGTACAAGTGGGAAGTTTGTGAGTATTTTAAGAGCTGTGGAGGGGAGGCTTCAGGTCTGTCTCATTAACGTGAAGGGTGTTTAACAAACCTCTTAGGGTTCTAATGTGACTTGATCCCAAAATGCAGAGAGATAATTGTCAGGTAGAGACAGTGGAAGTCGTAGCAGCTCTGGCCTGGAGCCACAGGGTACCTCTTCCCCGCTTTCCCGACCACTAATGAACTGACAGTCCACCCAAATACCTGCCAGAGCTGCTCCTGAAGATCTCCTAATGCACCTGCTATTAAAAGGAACATTACAGGATGCTTTCCACCATTACTGCTCATGCACTTCATCAGAATGTAAATAAAGGGAATC